GTGTGCGTGCGTGCGTGCGCGCGCGCGCGTTTTATAATAAATATATATATTTATATAATCACATATTATATATATATATATATATATATATACACATATATATACTATTAATTCATGTACTTTATTGTGTATAATATTTTTAATATCAAAGTATGATAATGAACACACACAATGATTACACACATATAATGTACATAATTCTTATTTTAATTGAAGTAACTTTTATAACTTTTTAGAAAAAAATATAATATTTAAATTATAATACACATATTTTTTATACTAATACTGTTTGTTTAAAATTATTTTTAAAATTTACATTTATTTTTATATAAATGTGAATCTACTCTCAACATTTCTAAATTACCTAGCATTATTGTTAAACTTTTTGTTTAACAAACATTAATTAGAAATGGAGCATTAATGTATTCAATATTATGCTAATTCACTCTAATAACTGCGACAGATATACTGAATTGCAAATACAACGTGTCAACATTCGCCGAACACTAAGAATTTTTTTTATTCAGTAAGTTTACATAAATGTCTTATGCGATAACCTTTGCAATACATAAGCTTTATAGTATATTTATCTGCGACGTATAAATACTGTATTTCGATATATCGACAGTAGTACATTAGCAACGTGCAACAGTACGAGCAAGTTAATTGGAACAATCAATTAAAATCGATTAGAATTTTAACATATTCTATAACTATAAAAAATCCAAAATTATGAAGCGACTGTTTGTTCTCTATCTATATGTTGTTATTGTAAGTATTTTTACATTATATTAGATCATAAATTTAATTGCAATTAACAAATAAATAAAAAAAAATCCCTAATACGAGGCTAGATATTGGTGACCAATAATATTTGTAATTTTTAAATTTCAACTACTATTATTACTATAATAAACTACACTCCGATTACTGTCAAACATTCAAAACTTAATCATAATTGAAATAATATCACATTTTAAATTGATCAATTATTTAATAATAATAATATTTTTAAACGGTATTTTTAATTTAATTGTAATTAACATATAATTAATATTAATTTAATTGTAATTTAAATAAATAAAGACAAAACGGCGTTCCTACATTTTAGGCGATTTGGGAAGCACGCGGAGAACGTTGTGTTCATCTTTTTTCTTACTCAATTTCACTTGCTGAATCCGAAAATTATAGTTAAAATTGTCCTAGTATCCGGGAAATATATTTTTGTCACATTTTAAACAGAAAAAAACTACAATTTATTTTATTACTTTGTTGAACCATGTCTGCAAATTTCTCTTTGTTTTTATAAAAATATGTTTCGATGTTACCTAAGCATTCATTTTTTCTCATCAGGACTTGAGAACCTGTAAGTTATCTTAAGTTATGTATATATTTTAACTTTTGCATCGAAATATATTGAAAAGTAAAACGATACAGAAAAACGTTTCAAGTAAAAGTTATACGGTCTGAAGGGGGACAACCAATGATAAAAGTAATTTTCGGAAAAAATCAATTTTTGAGGCCATATAAAGGGTACCGCCATTTTATTTATTTGGATTTATATAATTTTTTTACATGGTATGATTTCTTTTATTATTTTGCTAATTCTGCTAATTCAATATAGTTAACGAGGTATTTTATATTTTATTATGTCATATTTTGACATAAAATATAAAATATCTTTATATGATCTTAAAAAAATTATTTTTTTTACAATTATTTTTATCGTTTAACCCCCTTTACATCGTATAACTTTTACTTGAAACATTTTTCTGCATTTTTTATACTTTTCGAGATAAATATTTTGATTCAAAAGTTAAAATGTATACATAACTAAGATAACTTACAGATTCTCAAGCCCTAATGAGAAAGGATGAGGGCTTAGGTAACATCGAAACATTTTTATAAAAACAAAAAAAAATTCGCAGACATGATTCAACAAAGTACTAAAATCAGTAGTTGCTTTTTTTGTTCAAAATATGAAAAAAAAATTTCCGGATACTAGAACAACTTTAATTACGATTTTCAGATTCAGCAAATGAAATTGAGTAAAAAAAAAGTGAATCCAACGTTCCCCGCGTGCTTCCATCCTCTCCGAATAGAATAGGGAAATTTCAGATTTAAACCTGAGCTGAGGTATAAATAATTATTGTAATAAATTTTTTACAGCGTTTTAAGATGCTTGTAGAATTATCATTGAGTTAAAGATCAATATAATATGTGATATTATTTTAGTTTTCAATTATGATTTAAAAATTAAAAGTATTATTGGGCTTCAATATCTTTCATTGACCAAGTTTTTTTGATATTTATTTGTTAATTTAATGTCACGATTAAATTAATATTAAAATTATTATTATCAATAAGAAGAGATATAAGATCACAAAAAATATATTTAAAAATGTTATAATATTGTGTAAAGATAAAATATCTTTCTGTTTATAAAAATTTTCTTTAAAAAAAAGTTTTATTTTCATTAATTTTATCTAGAAGTATCGCTCATTGAGCATTAAGATATTTGGTATGAAGGCTATTTGGTATTAAAAAGTATAATTTTTTTCTCTCCCATAAAAAGAATCTTAAATATAATCTTTAATGTTAATTAAATAATGATTTTAATGTTAATTAAAATATTTTAATATTACTGTTTTTTTAAGTTTATTTTTAAGCAAGATTAAAATTCGTTACACATTAAGAGGATGCTAAAAAGTCGGCCAAATTTGTACAAGGTCGATAAAGCAGACTTTTCAGTGTCAGTAGTATCTTTAAATGAACTTCTTTCAATATCTTCTGGTCTCACTCAAACACGTGGAATGTCCTTATTTAACTTATTGAAGTGCCATCTCTTGGAAAATCCGGCACTTATTACCAGACGCAATTTTTGCTGTCTTTACTTTAGCCTAGAGTCCTAGATTATCAGAGAAGCGCGACCGGCTTATGGCAATATCGCAAAAGTACTAGAAAATATTAAAAATGGCGTCGAATGGCCAATCATAAGATTGATTTATAGATCGGAAGAGCAC